TTTGATTTCTTAAAAAATAAATAATTGACAATTTCCAATCTGAGAGATGACTGAATGAAAGCTCTCCAACTATGTAATGCTATACTGGCAGGAATATGTGAATTTTCAGGTTTCCCATCGGCCCCAGAATAATAGGCCAAGAATAATAGCAGTGGCAATCCAATAACATTTGGAGGATCACATGTTTTTTATTCCACACTTGGATTTGGATGTGAAACCAGTCGTGTTTCAGGGGTTTCTAGCCCCCTTCCTCTTTTCTAAATCACTGCTTTTGTCTCCAAACAAAGGAAGAAAATCACTTACAGAATGGACTTAAATGTGCCTAGTGATCTCATCAGAGAGGGCTTGGGAAGCATCCTAGGATCCTGGCCATTCCATAACTTCCTGGACTTCTGGCGGAGGCCATGCCCACAATTGTAGTGGAAGTGCGACTTGGAGGCCTCTCCTTCTTAGGGAATCTATATGTCAAAGTGAAGTAGGCAGTCAACAATTTCCTTGAAGCAGGACAAAGATAGGAAGTCATCTCAGAGGTCAAAGGATGGCAACAGGTCTATTCCCAGAGGTTATCCACCACTCAAAGAAGATCCAGAAAGAAAACAGTGGAGGTACTTCCCTAAGGAGCACCAGGATGAAATTATGTATACCAGATTTGCCATTTTCAGAGCCATTTTAACTCATCAGGGCTGCTGTTATCAGTAATGTGTAATATCATCCTACATACAGTGGCGAAAAGTCCTACTTGATAGATGCTATTTCTCTTAGTTGAAGGATAGTCAGAAGACTGTCTTATCCTATATTTGAAAGATTGACCAGTCCAAGACTAAAAGATAGTACTATGTAACAAAAAATGAGAAAAAAAATGTTCCTGGCTTGAAAGTGTTGTTCCTGTTTAATTATGCAGTATATACTTTGAAAGTAGTTATTATACTCCAGAAACTTCATTTTTGTGGCTGTCACAAACGATGTTGAATTGGTTGAGATTTGATGACATATTCATTGAAATACTATAGCAAAATGTGCTGCAGGATGTCTTTGTTTTTGCAGTTTAATAAACTTTTCCATGTTTTTATGATACAACTAATTAAAAATGACATTTATAACCCAGGAACAAAAAATATGTTACATAGTGTTATAATCTCTGAGAAATCCCAAAGAAAAGAGAGCAGATTTGAAGCTGGTCATCTACAGTTTGGCATGTGAAAACCAACTTTGCAGGCATATTGATCATTTGGTCGCAGTCTTTCTCATTATAGTGAGAAAATTATATTTCTTTTGGAATGTAGTAATAATTTCTAAATATATTTCCCCATATAAATTTGCATATGTACATTTTGTTCAAATGCATGTTCTCTTTCCTTCCTTCCATTTTTAAATATTGTACAAACAAAATGTCTCTGCCTTTTTCCTACCCCAATAGGTCCCTTATTTTTCAGAATTTGATCTCTCTACCTAATGTGAAATGTGTGCTCCTACCTAATATGTCCCAATTTTGTCAATGTTGAAGAATGAGACTCTTCGGAGTTTTTCTTCCCCACCCCAAGTATGAATGGGTCTCTCTTCTCACTCCCTCTTTGACAATTTTCAATATCTCTAGGGGAGGCAAGAACTGTGGAGGGTACATCTTTGGGTGGCAGGGGGCTGAAGATGGGGTCTGAGAAGTGGAGAACGTAATTGAAGGGAGTGTGCTGTTCAGGGTATACTTTGCAAATTAGATTTCTAGTGGAATCCAATTTGGAGCAGACAGCGCCGGGTTGACAGTTACTAATTCAATTACCTGCACCTTCTAATGTTCATTCTGTGGGAATTACCAGCCAGCTCAGCTTGCAGGACGAATGGGTTTGATTTAGCAGTGATTTCAATGGGCCCTCCTCTGAAGGAGACATTACAATTCCCTCCCTCTCTCTCTTTTGATTGTGATGTTCCTGGATTCAAGATAATCAAAAATTGCATGGGCCACACAGCTTTGGTGGAAACAGTAATTCTCACCAAGTGTCAACAGATATCTCTTGAGCAAAGATGGGCAAAGTTATCTTTTAGACAGTAATTACCAGGGTCCCCCATCTGGCATGGCTGGGAAATGGAGTTGTCAGGTCTCAGGACATTGACTGGTGTGTTAATCTGGATCTCCAAATGAGCAAGTAGTGTGAGCCGGTTGCACTTTGGCCATTGTCCCTTTTACAGTTAGCAAGAAGTAAGGCAGTGCACCATGTCTTGTGAGCCTATTTATTGTACAAGTCTTGGCAGTACTAGCAGTACAGGCAGTAGCCAAGTTACAAACAAGATTGTTTCTGTAGGTTTGTCTGGACAATCTTTCAAAGATAGGATAAGTCAGCCTTCTGACTATCCTTCAAACAAGCTTATTTCAACTTCCACATTGGTGTTTCCAAAACTTCTTCCAGATATTTTGGACTTCAACTCCCAGAATTCTTGATTGTTGGTCAAGCTGGCTGAACTTGTTGGACTTCCAACAAGTTTAATTTTAAAACAGCAGGAGAACCAAAGTTAGGGCACTACTATTCTATAGGATACAACTTCATAATATTGTTGAGCCACAACAACCCAAAAAAAGATTTATAGATGAACAAGAAACTCTAAGCAAGATATATTATTATTTTTTCTTTATTTTAAAACATTTTTGCAGCATTTTTGCAGAATTGTGAAATGCCTAAGCCACTAGAAGTTCTGGTATGGGCCTAGTAGCACCTGTACCCTAAAAACAATATCAATCTAACCCTTCAATAAATGTATAAACTTGAGATTGCATGCAGCCATACAGGCAGCCAAGTTCTTGATTGTCTGGAATCATCATCTTTGTCTTTTGTGTCTTGCACCCTTTATTTCACATGGAACTGGACACTTGAGCTAATTAGGGACTCATCAGCATATCCATGTCATCCTTTCCTCCTGGATTGTGCCCTCCTGGGGGGACATCTCTACAACAGACTGGCTCTTTAAACTGACCAATTGTCAGCTGCCTTTCTTCCCACCATGGGAACCTCCTTCTGCAGGCTGTGACATCAAGAGAACCCACAACCAATCGAGCACAGATCCTAGTCTGCCTCTCTTTTCAGAACTATAATGTCATGTATTTTTCTGTGAATTTGTGCATGTACCTTTTGAAGCATATCACTTGTACTTGCATCCTATTTGGCCAAATTGTAATAAACCTCTGTAGCTCTGCCTTCAACCCGAAGTGCCTGAATTCTTTTCTGACTGATCTGGTTTAGCAAACAAAGACTCACTGAGCACAGACCTCTCTGACCATGGTCCTAGCTGAAATCACTACAATATATTAAAATATGGCTATACTGTCACTTCCTTCAAGCTTAATATAAACAGTTGTATGTTGTTCACATAAGGCATGGTTTCCAGACTTTTGGACATTTTAGTAGCTCTTGTCTGGGCATATTCCAACTTGTGAAAGGCGTTCTGAACTTCTCATACAGGCAGTTCCCAAGTTATGAAAAAGATAGATTCTATAGGTTTTTCTTAAGTTAAATTTGTATGTCAGCCTGAACAGGTACATTTTAAAGTGTTACTCCACCCCCCCCCCCCACACTCCCACACACACACATGCTTTGGATAGCATAGGGAAGGGCTAACACCTCTATGGTGTCTGTTTTGCTGCCTGTGCCCCTGTTCAGAAGATTTCACCTCACTTTCTGTCCCTGTGATAATGGGATTTTGTAAAAAATTGGCTTGTGGACATAAAGATTGGTGATAAAGGTTCGGTTGAGAACTCTTTCAGGAATCAATTTTCCTTCCTAAGGATAGGTTTCTCTTATTTCTTGTTGTCCGTTTGTAACTATGAGTCGTTTGTAAGTCAAAATGTTCTCTTATTTCCTGTTGTCTCATCCCCGTTTGCAACTATGAGTCGTTTGTAAGTCGAATGTTTATAAGGCATTGCCTGTAATGCTATTAAGTAAATTGAGTCAGCTGTCTCAGACAGCAGATCTGGGTATCATGAAAAAGCAGCAAAACTGTTTATATGCTTTAAGAAGCAACGTATCTTGACTTAGGTAGATAAAGAGGATGCCATTTTTAATTCCACCTCAAGCAGCCAAATATCTTGAGCCAACCCTATGCCAGCCTATGAACTCCCCTCTCTGTAACTGAATGTTCATTAATATTTTGACCTCTGAAAGAAAATAGCCTGTTGGGGAATGTTGAAAATCAGTGTATAAACTGTAAAACAGGTCTAACTAGAAGAAAAATACCATAAGGAATTGACAACTGTGGAAGCTGCATTCCAGGTACAGTCATATTCTGTACAAAATTTGCAAGTAAACAGAACAAGAGTAAAAAAAAACAACAACAACAACATGAGCAGTATTGGGATTTGCGTTCACATTTCCCTGTGCTCCGTTGAAAGCAGTAAGACTTATTTAATATGTTTGGGACTACCATATCAGTGTGGTAGTTTAAGATTTCTGAGTTATATTTCCAGCTCTGGGAATATAGTGGCTTAGAAGAGGATGATGCAAAGCCTTGGAAGGGAAGTGGGCTTTGTGTGCGTTGCCCAAGAGAAGGAAGGAGGAAAGGTTCTTGGATTGTACCCACAGATTTGCCAATGGACTTCCAACAGTACTGTTTTTGGAGGAGTTCCTGGAGGCATTATGTCATGAAGAAGTGGCTTTAAAGACTAAGCTACTCTAAAAGTAAGTTGTTGTGAAGCTATTAGATTTTTGCCCACAATGGAAAAGGGAGGACTAGCAGTTCCTGTATCAGATTATGTCCTATAATCACTAGCCTCTAGAAACATGGGAAACCCAGCAAGAAGTGCTGATAACAAAATTGGTCTCCTTCGTCATTCTGTATATGCATTCTGAGAATTTCCTCTGCTTTTTAATTCTGGGCTTCTTATGCAAAAGGAACCTAGAAATAAAATAGTTAATCCCTAGAGGCTCCAGGATAATTTTGAATGGTTGCTGGCAACCTCAACTGCCCATAGCAATGTAATTGGAATGCCTAAAAGCAATACTGCACAATTCTTGACTTACCAGTTGAGCACAACCACTGACTGTCTAAAATCTTGAAAGACCTGGATGTGGTTCCAGTTCTTTGTAGCCATTTTTCCTATTCTGGCTTCCGTATAATCTCCTAGAAAGCAGCCTCAATGTTTCCCTCCCTTCCCCACTTATTACCAGCTTGGTTTGTAGGTTGTTTCAGTTGAGATACTCATCATTCCCTAAGGGCCCTTCTGTGCAGCCCTACATCCCAGAATATCAAAGCAGAAAATCCCACAGTATCTGCTTTGAACTGGGTTATCTGAGTCCACACTGCCATATATTCCAATTCAAAGCAGATAATGTGGGATGTTATTCAGCTGTCTAGAAGGGGGCTAAGAGTGATGTAAGTTCTCTTGGTAGTCACACTGCATTATCAACATCACCATCTGCACACAAAAGGGAAGAATAACAAAGATTATTTACCAAAATACTAAAAAGGCATAAGTGAGGAAAAACATTGAAGACTGACCTCCCATACCCCAAATAAAAAAAACAGCACAGTAAAGGACTGAGTCTGCTTTGTAAATGTGTGATACTAAAACATTTATAGGGTAAAGAAGGAGAGAAACCTGGGGAGAAGAAATGGAATGGGAATGCTGGAATTCTGGATAGAAAATGGTTCAGTTCACCTTTTTGTCACCGGGTCCATTCCTATCTATATTTTGTAGATACAAATAAATGTACAGTAGATGTATAGTACAAATAGATGTACAGAAACTATAATTCTGAGATGGATGGAGTTGAGTTGTTGGTTTTATTTTTGGTATGTGCCTCATCAAGCCATAAAGCGAGGGCAAGGAGTGGGAGCAAAAGCCTCTCCTGCCAACCTCACCCCTCCCCTGCCAATTGACCAAAGTATATAATACCCACAGGGCTGGTCAAGTTATTTGGGTAACTGAAGCAGAAAATCTCACAAGTAACTTTCCCATTTTTTACCAGTAGAAACACAATGACAATACATTAGCTAACTAGCTAAATGCCCCCTTTAGCAATCATTCCAGGATCAAATCAGCTCTCTGAACCAGATGCCTCACTCTGCCTAATAGTGTGGCCAGTGGCAGCTCTTGGCTTCCATCAGAAGCCAATGGTTCGGGATGTGCCTATCTTCCCCTATGAACCAGCATGTACTCTAAGATCATCTGGAAAAGCTCTTTTCTCGCTTCCACTGCCGTCGCAAGTGTGGTTGGTGGGGATGAGAGAAAGGGCCTTGTCTGTGGTGGCCCCTCGGCTCTGGAACTCTCTCCCGAGGGAGATCAGACACGCCCCCACACTCTCCATTTTCCGCAAGGAATTAAAAACCTGGTTGTTCCGTTGTGCCTTCAATTAGACAGCTCACCAAAAAAGTTTCCATCCTTATCTAGGTTCCTGCACTTTGGCTTGGTCCTTCTAGCACTTCTAACACTTTAATAATGTAAGGACGTTAGCCTCCTAGCCCAGCCCTTCATTTTGCTGCACTTGCCCTTGGTGCTGCAGCATTGGAATTATGAGCCTGGACCCACTATTTGTTGTTGAGCCACGATATTGGTTTATGATGTTTGTCTGAGTTGATGTTTTATTGTTTTTAGTTACTGACTGTATTTCTGTGCTTGTTTTTAATGTGTATTTGCTGGGCATGTCCCTTTGTAAGCCGCCTTGAGTCCCTTCGGGGAGATGGAGGTGGGGAATAAAAATAAACTTATTATTTTTTATTATTAGAGTGGAGCATTGGATCTGCACTTTAAGATAAGCCTTAAGGAGCTGTCTAAGGTTCTGAAACCCTGTTCCCAAGCTAGACTCAGAACCTTGGATAGCTCCTGGTTGTTTCTAACACCTGAGGCAGATTCACTTTCTCTCTGGTGCAAGTTGCCACTATTTATGGACCACTCCAGGTCACAACAGCTAGTAATAAAGGTCTTCGCATAGCAGTTCTTTTCCACTTCATTCAGAAAGTGTTCTCATTATTTCCCCCCTTTTTATTTCAGACCTGTTTATTGGATTGCCCTGTTCAGCACTGCCAACTAAAATCATAGCTACCAGATTCCATAAATGATAGCAATCCTAGACATATTAGTATATGGAAGAGAAAAAGCTCTGGAATATGCAAGTTGTAGTAGGAGAATATAGCTTCTGCCATTTTTACTGATGGCAACAATTTTTGGTGATTATGATGGCCTCTTTCCTGTGTATCATAGTCTCTGTGGCTTCCCCTAAATGCTGCCCTGCTATTAAACCACTGTAAATGTAAGCGATGTTTCAATGATTTGCTTTCTTTTACTTTTGTACTTCTGCCTGTTTAGAGTCTGTGTTTACCTTTGTAAAATTGTGGCAATTCCTCTTCTGTATGCAGGTGAATCCCATAGTCTATTTGCTTTTCAGTGTCAAGTATTTGCATTTCATGTGATACAATATGGGTATCTAAACTTGTTTTAAAAGGGGTACAGCCTAAATCTAGATGACCACCTATGCATCACTAGAAAAAGAAGATAAAAGGGGATCCAGAGTTTCATGTCAACATACAGATTTTCCTCCTTCCCTCACAAATTATTACAATCATAATAACAAAAGTGAGATGCAGAAAATGAAATGAAGACAGTGTCTATAGCCAAAGAGATTGTGTTGGTAGTGAACCAATTCTAATGAATATAAAATGCACAACAAATATATTTTTTACAACAAATGCACTATGTGAAAGTAAACAAGCAAATGAAGATGCAATTAGAATGATTTAAATAAAGATACATTACATCCTACACTAGTAGGGAGGGATTGGTCCTTTATATGACTTAAACGCTTTCTAAATCTGATCTCTTCCTTCCAATTGTCCCCTTGGCTTAAGCAGGGCAACATTTCAAACAGAGGGCAGTTTCAAAAAGAGGTGATCCCACATTTGTGCTCATAGGCTACAACAGTTTCTTTCCTAGGAGTTCACCAGAGATATTAGGCTTATGCTCAAGAACTGACCAAAGTCAAGGGACAACTGCATGGAGGAAACATTTGCAAAGCTTAATTTCAGAGGAATCAAAATACACATAAAGGCCAGAATCAATCAATGCACAGCCATGCATGTCAAAAACTTAAATCGTGGCTATGGGACCAAACTTTTGACAAATAAGAGGAGCAGTGCAATTAAACGACTACGAATTAATGTGTTGATAAATGGAATGTCCCTGGATTATGTTTTGGAGGATGTGATTTTAATTGATGTTTTTAACAAGTTATGTTTTAATTGTTTGGTTTTAATTGTAATTGTGTATTGATAAATGTCTGTTTGGCATCAAATTGCTGCCTGTCATAAGGCCGTCTTGAGTCCCTCTGGGTTGAAAAAGGCAAGATACAAATATAGTAAATAAATAAATAAATAAATGCAAAATAGTATATATGCATGATGGCACTATATGCATGAGTCTACTTCTATAACTTTGATTGCCTATTGGACAAAAAAATGCCCTCAAGTCATAATGTCAGGATTGCATGTTCTACTTGGTCATATTTTGGATGAAATAAAGTACTTCTGGTAGAAAAAAAGGCCCGGGGGCCGTGTAAGGCCCTCCAAGGTCATTTACCCGCCCTCGCTTAGGGTCAACCTAAGTCAACCTAAGTCTGAAATGACTTGAAAGCACACAACAACAACAACAACAACAACAACAACAACAACAACAATCATATCTCATCAGCCAAAAGCAGGTCCACACTTCCCATTGAAATACTAATAAGTTTATATTTGTTAAAAATTTTCTTCATTTTAATTATTGTATTGTTTTAAGTGGTTTTTTGCACTACAAATAAGATATGTGCAGTGTGCATAGGAATTCATTCATGTTTTGTTTTCCAAATTATAATCTGGCCCTCCAACAGTTTGAGGGACTGTGACCTGGCCCTCTGTTTAAAAAGTTTGAGGACTCCTGGTCAAGAAAGTAGTTGAGAGTTACAGAGAGCAGGGAAGGAGAAGAAGGTTTTGGTATGTTTATCACCACAGTGTTGCCTAACTGTTTCTATTAAGTAGTGGGGATTAACATAAATTAGTAGTGAGGTAGAGAGGCATATTTAATAGGACCATGGCCTTTATCCATTGTTCCCACCTGCATTCCCTGACAAAATTTTAAAAAAAAACCCTTCCTCGTGGGCAACTACTGCTCATCCCTCCCACAAGGAAAAGCTCCCAATGGTACCAATAGGCAATGTAGAGATAGAGCTTGGAAAAGTTAATTTTTGGACATTAGCTCCCAAAGTACAATAGCTAGCAAAATCAGTAACTTCTCCAAGCTCTAAACAAGTCTGTTACCCTTTTTTCAAGTAGCAAGTAGTATTCCTAGCTGAGGAAGAGGGTTACAGTTTCATATTTTTACACTCAAATCACAGCTTCCATGTGTAACATGATACAAGGAGCTCTCTAAATATCTGGAAATAACACATCAGGCTGCAAGCGATAGGGTCAATGTCTGAGTGACTTGTTTTTATGTTGTGACATAGCAGCAGAGCAGAAATGAAAGAAGGTATAAAAGACTCACGCGTCTTCCTCTGGGGCTTGTATATCATGTGTGAAGGCAAGCACAGTAGCAAATAGCTATGGCCATTTTACCATTTCCTTAAATGTTGAAATTAAAAGCAGCTGAGGGGAAATCCAAATGTTATCTCAACTGTGTAGCTGCTACTGATAATCACTTCCACCAAAAATCACTTCCACGTGCTCAGGGCTCTATTCGGCTGTGGTAATGTTCAGAGGATATCCTGTTTACCAACTCTCAAAGAGCTAATCCAAGTTGCCGAGGTAGGGATTTGTTCTCCAGTAGTTGAGTGAGCATGGGCAGCTCTGTCAGTAGAGCACTGGACCTTTAATCCAGTGGATGTAATACCTTTGAGAGTTAACAGGCTTAGGGGTTTGCGTGTTGGACTAGTATTATAGGAGATCAAGGTTTGAATCCGTGCTCAGCTGTGGAAACCTCCAAATGACCTTGGACAAGTCTTGCACTCTCAGGCCAAGAGCTAGAAAATCTAAGCAAATCTTTCCAAGACAACCCCAGGAGAGTTGTCATAAATCAGATTAGGCTTGAAAGCACAAAACAAAAAAGTGAGTGAGTGATCG